TTTCCATTTTTCTTGTGCAGTGGGGCTATGTTGTGATCACAACACCGAATGGAGTTCTGGATCATGAAGAGGCTGTTCGACAAAATGTTGGTGGTCAAGTTCTTGGATACTTTTATTGATAGACTATTTACGATTCGTTTTCATCTTTTGTTTCGTGTACCTTTTTGTGTAGCTAGGAAAGATTACGAACAACTCTTATTACTTTATGGAGCTCCTTTCGAATTATGCTTGTGACAAATTTGATGATGATCAAATGCTGGACATATACTTTGTTTTTATGAGACTTTTTGAAACCTTCAAATATGATGATGGTCAACTGCTGGACATGTACTTTGTTTTTACGAGACTTTTGCTTCCGTTTGAAGGATACAAAAAGTAAAGTGTACTTCATTATTTCTTGTTTTGTAGGGATTTTTATTTTAAACACTTATTAAGTTCTGCATAGTGAACTCAAATATTTGAACAAGACGATCATTTCTGATCACATAATTAGTAAAAGGAAAACGAAAAGAACTGAGAACTAGCAGTGTAGTACACAATAACATTGAGCATCATTCATTCATTTGCAGACAAATGAATGATAACAAGGAAAATGTTGCACCAGCCAAGCAATATACACCAGTAAACCGAGTCTGGCCAAAATAAACACTACTCAAATCTTCAAATAAGATACCTGAGACTGGCCATGCAACACACCAAGCAGCAGCAGTTCATAACCGAGTCTGGATTTCTTCATTTGCTAGAGGAAGCAGCAGTTCATAAAGATGGGCAAAATCACTAATTGCCAACCATGACTCTCCAGAAAAACCATTAGATTAACAAGACTATACAAAAACACACGCACGTCAGCAAAATAACCAATCTTGGTTTTACTTTTCGCCTAAAATAAAAGCACTCAGAAGCCAATACTTACCATTTATCTGATCAGCCCCAGAGAAACACATAGATCAGTCTAGTAACATAGGACAACTTTCTTACGCAAAACTCGAAGAACATAACAATTCAATTATAACAACCAGGCATTGTTCATCAGTAAACTACTTCCTGATCAATCAAATCACATGTGAACTTCTCAATATATCACTAGTAGACAGAGGTTCACATAAAATAATGACGACCAGAGAACGAACCAAAAAAGAACACTGCACAAACCAAAGTCACGATCACAATCAGAAAAAACATCGACTTTATTTCACAATAACATACAGAATTCAATTGCAGGCCATTTATAATAAACACAATTAAAAATTCCTGTGCTCCAGCAACAAAGTAACCTGGCTCATACAGAGTCAAGAATATTATCATGTTTCTAAAAACATGCAGGGTAATACAGCAGCAACCACACAAAAGAACAGAAAAATGAAGTCACCATTAAACCGATAACCACAATCAGATCGAATTTATACACAATAATATCCAATATATCAGAAATTCAGACATTAAAATAAGGCACAACACTGAATGAACAGCATTGTAATCGTACAAACCCAACTATAAATTACTAATTTTTCAGCCACGGGCCTTGAGCTCGGCAAGACGCCTGGAGAGATCGTCCTCGTCAGCTTTCTCCTCACTCTTGACCGACACTGCATGCGCCGCCGGCTGAGGCAGCCCGACAGACACCTCGAGCCCGTAATCATCGGCCACCTGTTGCATGAGGCTGTTGACCTCGCCCTCCGGCGTGGAAAGCGAGGTGCTTCCGGCCATGGAGCTCTCCATGAACTCGGCCTGGACCTCCATGTTCACGAACTGCCGCTCGAACTGGTCCATCGTCTCCGACATCCGCTGGAGGTTCCCAGTGGTGAGGGACGACTCGAGGGACTTGACGATGTTCCCCATCGACTTGCTGATGGCTGTCATCTTCGCCTGCGTGTCGAGGCGGGCGACGACGGCGTCAAGCCTGGAGGAGAGGCGGAGGTAGTTCATCTGCTCGCTGCGCTTTCGGATCGCGTTCTCGGCGTAGATCCGTGCGCCGTCCATGTTGCCCTTCTCGATCGCCTTCTTCACCTTGAGCTTCTCGGATTTCTCCTCCTTCTCGCACTTGCGGGCCTGGCGCTGGAGGCTCTTCGAGGTGAATTTCAGGTCCATGATCTGCTGCATCAGCTTCTCGGCGTTACCCATGGCAAGTTTCCGATTTCAGGGAGAGAAATTATTCGGAGAAAGAAGATTGCGAGTTATATTGATTTGGGGGAAAAATAGCTGTTGGCTTGATTTAGGGTTCTTTTTGTTTGAAATTTGTTGGTTCCTTTGGGAGGTGGGATCTGGTGCTGCAGGTGTACCGTATATTATCCACATCAAATAATGGTGTTGTGTTCGAAAACTAGTCTTTTCGGAGACGTTGCTTAAATTTTTTTTGTACTTGCCCCTATTTACCTTTGTCGGTGCTAGATGTACCATATGTTATCCACATCAAATAATGGTGTTGTGTTCGGAAACTAGTCTTTTCGGAGACGTTGCTTAAATTTTTGTACTTGCCCCTATTTACCTTGTCGGTGCGTAG